TATATATATATATATGTCTTGTTAGGGAGAGAGCTTTGTTAAAATTGTTTTACAGTAGTAAACAGTAAGTGTTTCACTGCAAGTAAAAAAAGTGCAGTTTTATTTATTTCTGTTGTAAAATTTCTCTAAAAGATGGAGGGGGGGAAAAAGAAAGAGAAATGATTGGTCTTGCATTCAATGGATAAGGTAAATTAGCTCAGGTCAATACCTTTCAGGAGAGAGAGCTCTGTTAAAATTGTTTTACAGTAGCAAACAGGAATTGCTTCGGTACAAGTAAAAACAAAATGCAGTTTTACCTATTTCTGTTGTAAATTTTCTATGAAAAAAATGGAGAGATTTCACTGCATGTAAAAAAATGCAGTTTTACATATTTCTGTTGTAAAGTGTTTTTGGAGAGATTTCACCGCAAGTAAAAAATGCAGTTTTACCTATTTCTGTTGTAATTTTTTCCTAAAAAATGGAGGGAAAAAAGACACAGAAAATGTCTGGTCTTACATTCATGGATAAGGTAAAATATGTAAGGTTATTTTTTTGGGTAATCGGGTTTACTGGATCGAGGTCCAGACTAATCCCGTGATCAGGAACCAGTCATGTGATTTGAATTATGCGCTTCCTCCCCAACCTGAGATTCGAACTCGGGACGGGATAGACGCTTTGCGTTCCGTTTCACCGGTTGAACTAACCAGGTTGGGTAGGTTACTGTCTTATTAGAGAGAGCTTTGTTAGAATTATTTGACAGTAGCGAATAGGAAATGTTTCACTGCAAGTAAAAAAAAAAAGGCAGTTTTATCTATTTTTTGTTGTAAAATTTCTCTGAAAAATGAAAAAAAAAAAAGAAAAATGATTGGTCTTACATTCGTGGATAAGGCAAAATGTCTAACGTTCATACAAAAATACGTTTAATAAAATTGAATATAAATCCATTTGAATATGGATTGATTTGATTCAACTTCGATCGGTGGGATTAATTCTATTTTGTTTTTACCTGTTAAAATATTTGAATGGAATCTAATTTGAATAGTTCAACCGGTGAAACGGGAAGAATTGGAATCTCAAGCTGCGAAGGGGGCGTAATTCCAATTACATGGTCTGTTGCTGCCTTCGAGATAAGTTTAGACCTCGGTTCAAGATACCAAGTTACCAAAAAAAAATATTTGAACCGAAACTCTCACTCAAATTCGAACAATTTGAAAGAGATGAAATTGTCCAAATTAAGACATCCATAATTCGTTCATTCATGCATGCATGATGATCCCTCACACTCTCCATACTTGTAAAATTAAAACCATAATGAGAGTAAATGGATACATGAACCCTAATGCTATCGTATTATTGACATAATGAAGAAAAAAACATAATGTTTTCCTAATATTGGATTATTGTAATCTTTTTTCTTTTACATGGGTTTTGGACCGTTCGTACACATGATTATGAACTTGTGATATTGATGAATTGTCCTATCATTTTAGCAATTAGAGGTAAATATGCATGACACATACATTTTTTTTTTATAATTGGGTGTATTGGGTCGAGGTTCACACTAATTTTGAATCCGTAAGTAAGCCATGTAATTAGAATATGTACTTTCCTCCCCAATTTAAGACTCGAATTCGGGACGAGACAGACGTTTTGTGTCCCAATTTCACCGGTTGAACTACCCAAATTGAATTGTATGATATATATATATATATATAGCATGTATTGGACACTATTACATTTTTCATTCCATTAAATAAAAATAATTTCCGGATTATATCGGTCCATGATTACATTTTTTATGTCATTAAAGAGGTTGCTTCTAAATCAAGGCATCAATGACAAAGGAAACTTAGGCCGCAAGAAACGGAAGAGTTTTTCTGGTAAGGGCGGGAACTCATCCACAATCCTTCGGGCGCGTGATAACTGCTTCATCCGGCTCCACGTAATAGTTTACAAACCACGTGGAACAGGTAAACCAGTCAAAAGATGACAGACTGACGGGAGAGTGAAATCGAGCTCATGACCTCTTAGACAATTATAGACTCTGTAACCTAGGGTGGGGCGTCTCGGTTCGGTTCTTCGGAACCGGACCGAACCGAACCGAAAAAACGGTATTTTTCCCGACCCGAAACCGTTTTTAATTCCCGAACAGTATCATTTTTAGAGAACCAAATTTTTCCGGAACCGAACCGAACCGAACTTTAAAAATTCTGAAAAACCGAATATTTTTAAAGGAAATCTATCCTTTTTTTAATAAAACCCGGAACCGAACCGAACCGATACAGAAACCGAACCGAACTGAAAGAATCGAACCGATCAATTCCCATCCCGAACCCGAACCCGAACCGTTTTCCGAAACGCCGAGCCCTACTATAAGCACTCCACCAGATTTCGAAGGGCAAAACAGAAGAATCTTCTAGAAACAGGTAGGGAGTTTCTTTGAAGTCGTGGATTACGCGATTACGCTTTTGCGAGGTGATATAAAGTGTAAAGAAAATGAATTTCGATTTTTATGGTTATTGCATGCATATATTAATAATTTCGTACGATACGACCATATATTATATGATGGCCGCATTTTCTTGAGACCACCACCACATTTCTCTGTCTTTCCTTTTTGACCATTTTGGATCCAATAATACTCACTTGGTTATCTGGTTTTATATTTTTATAAATCATAACAGTAAATAATGTAAAAATTCTAGATTTTACTCGTACCATTATCTACGTTATTTACCTACACACATTCACACTAAAAGAGTGAAAACAAAATACGCTATTATGAAAAGATTAATTTGTGAGACATGCAGATGGACAATAATCAAAGTTATTTTTGTAAAATCTAAATATTACAAGTGTAATTAAACGACTGATTTGGTGAGGTGATGTGATTATTATAGAGGAAATATATATAATGGATGTTAGTTTGATGTGCTAAATTCAATTCTTTTGTCAAATCTAATATAAAAAACAATGATAAAATAATTAAGAAAACGAAAATTAAATTGGATACATACATATATAGGTGCAAGAAAGAGACAAAAAAAAATTGAAATAAAAATTTTAGGAGTGTATGTGATCATTAGGGTTTAATTTAATATGGATATATACATAGGTGCAAGAAGGAGAACAAAAAAATTGAAATAAAACTTTTAGGAGTGTGTGTGATAATTAGGGTTTAATTTAAATTATATGAAAATTATATACAGGCTATGCATATATAACAGATAGGATTTAATGAAATAGATATTTTAAAAAAAAAATTAAGTGAAATGTGACATTCTTTAAGGTGTTCTAACTTCTACTTCTAGACACAAAACCATTAGGGTTTAGGGCAAAAACCATATAATTGGCAAGAAAAAGACAATTTTAAACAAAATGCATCATCATTAACGGCATTGATTCATGTACCCTTATATGCTAAATCCGGAGATGTTACTTAATTTACAGATTCCAATGCCAAAGGACACAGATTTCACTTCATCCAATGCATCCATAACCCAAAATTCTTCAACTTTTTGAAATTGTTTAACTGCAGAAAGAATATCATTACGTCCACTTTACATGCGCCGCTATGTGCCTCGACATCACTTGTCCACTTCTTCCACCTTTTTCTCCTTATTAACAAAAAAAAAAAATTAGGGTTGAGTGTTTCAGTATCCGATTCGATTTCAGGTCGGGAAATAATTCGATTCCATTCTTTCGGTTTTACAAAAATAGATATCAATCGGTTATTATATTATATTCGATTCCGTTCGATTTCAGATTTTTTTTCTTAAAAAAATCATTTTTTGATTTTTTTAAAATTTGGTTCGGTTCGATTTTGATAAATTCAGTTTTTTTAAAACTAATAAAGAGAATTTTGTACTGTTAAGATTAAAAAAAATATAGCATTTTTCAGAACCGAAACCCTCACCCCTAAAAAACCCTTTTTTCTGAAATTTTATCTGCAATGTCCACCTGGATCACAAAGAACCCTATTTTCTTCTTTCTCTCTCTACTTCTTTTGTTAAATTTCTCTCTCTACTTTTTGTTTAGAATACTGTCAAAAACTGTCAGAAGAAGACAAAGAAACCCTAGCTAAAAGCCAAGATCTTTACACAGAGAGAGCCAATCAAACTAACAGTACTACTCTTGTTAGAGAGACAAGAGGAGATGGTGAAGAAGATGATACTGAAGGCCCATGTCGGATTCAGACATTGTTGTTTCTTCTGTGTACTGGAAGAAACAGACCCTTTTGTTCGAAAGGCAGGAATCGAGAAGACTTTGAGGGAGATGCACACAAAAGGCGACACAGAGCTTGCCCTGACACTCAGTTTCATCTGGAGGTTCGCCATGGCTGAGCCCGAAAACCCCGAGTTTCCGTCCCTCGGGATCTTCGAGTGCATGGCGAGGTTGATCAAGAAAGGCGTCGAAGACGCGGCGTGGCTCGCGAGAGGACAGAACGTGTACGTTCCTTATTATGCAGCTCATATTATCGGTTCTTACACTATGAAGAAGTCACAGTTTGCGGTGAAAGCTGTAGAATCCGGAGTTATACCGCCATTGATTGAGCTTATGAGAGGAAAGATGAGTTGGGTCGAGCAAAGGGTCGCGGTTAGAGCGTTAGGTCACCTCGCAAGCTACTCGAAGACTTTCGAAACAGTGTCTGAATACGAGGAAGAGGTGGTGAGGTTAGCTATGGAGATAGCTTCCAACTGTATAGATGTTGTGTATAACGAGTTTGTAGGTGTTAAGGACAGAGATCAAAGTGTGAAATACCATTGCGATTTGCTTACGAGAGGACTCGGAGGGGTTGAGATGGAGAACCGGAGAGCCGAGGAATGGGCGAGCCAGCTTCAATGCTGGTCACTTCACTTGCTCAATTGCTTTGCTTGTAAAGAAAGATCCATCAATGTTATATGCAACAAAATCTTTCTGAAGAACTTGAGCAAAATGTGGGGTGGATTGGTGAATCACACATCTCCTGCAGGTGTTGGACTAATCCGAATCCTATGTTACAGCAAACGAGGAAGAGGGCATGTGTCTGAATCAAGAGAAGTGGTACTAAGCCTCTGTAATCTGTCTCGGTCTTCGGATGATTGGCAATACATGGGGATTGATTGCCTTTTGTTGCTTCTCAAAGACCAAGACACAAGGTACAAAGTTATCGACATCGCGGTATTTTATCTTAGAGACTTGATTGAGCTTCAAGCCCTCAACGATAGACCAGACCTAGGTGATAGAATCACTAGGGTTTTTCTTATGAATCACAACACAAAGAGAGTTTGTGCTTACAACAATCAAAAGACCGAAAAGGCGCTGAAAGAGATACGGAACACAAAAGTGGAGAGGACAAAGAAGGAGAGAGAGTTCATGTCTGAAGAAAAGGTTGCAGAGAAAAGGGTTCTGGTCAGATTGATTCAGCAGCAAGCAGACAAGCTGTTTTCCATGGGAGACATGGAAGGGGCGATTACATGCTACAACAAAGCCATCAACGCATGCCCTTTGAAGCTTCGGAGAAAGAGAATGTCTCTCTACAGCGGCAGAGGAGAGATGCAACATCAGATTCCTGTTGACGATCTGCAGCTTTCCACTTTCTAACACAATTTTTCGACCAATTCACATTGGCTGTGGGTTCCATAAAGTTCAAGAACCCAGAGAAGCTGGGCACCTTCCGAGGTACCCTCACCACTGTTTCATCGGAAGAATTTTGCAAGAAATTGTCATCAGATATCGAAATATTCCAAGCACCAGTTTCGGCAGTACAACTAGCTGTTCTTCTATGTCCATGCGGCTTCCCCTCCTGGATTTCCAGAGGAACACAGACCATTGTATCGCTCGGATTCTTTAAACGAGCACCCGTTCCCTGTCGGAACCAGCCAACGCTCATGGTAAAAGCCTCTGGACAAGGTCAAAGGCTTACGACATGAAAGGGCTTGCAAGAGAGAGCTTGATGGACTGCATCATGTTTGTCAATGGCCGCTGCTGCAGCAAGAATACCCATAGCAATAACAGTAACGGTTCGAAAATTCCATTCTATGCAGCAGAAATGATCAGCAAACAGATGAACGCCACAAGATTATTTGCAGATTCAAAATCAAGGGCACTTCAAGTGAAGCTTGAGGAAGTGAGACAGATCAGTGACAAAGACAGTAACAGTGACAGTGACAGTAACAGCGATCAAGAATGGTATAAAGAGATGGTGACGAGGATGATAACCGAGAAGAAAAAGCACTTGACCGGTAAAATTTTCTGGTTTTCACCAACCTTAAAATTACAGAAAAACCAGCCTTGATTTGTGATATTGATCTTCATGCATGATCTTGGTTTCTTTTGAAGGTTTGTCAACGATCAATGAAGAACCATGGAACCCAAATGAAGGAATCACGTCAAGAATGATGATGCACAAGAAGAAACCTGCTCTCTTGGCAAGATCCATGTAACATCAACTATATATATACGCACACACATTATATATATATGTGATCTATATATATATGGACAATGGTTTTTTTCTTTTTTGCATTAAGGGATTAAAGGGTCATGTTTGTTTTGGCGTTTTATGAAGAGATTGGTGAATTATTTTATGAATATGGGGAGAGTGATGTGCGCATGAGAATGTGGGGAGGACCACAATTCCACAATTTAAAGGCCCCCCCGCATGATCTTAACATTTTATGGAATTAACACATATAGCAATTCCATATATATTTATATATCATATTGTATATATGGACCACATGCAACAATTCCATATTTATATAGAGACCGTACGAAACTATATAATCTATGAATAAATATTTAACAACTTTCCTTCTTACGAATAGATTTATATTGAAAGCTTATTAATTTAGGGTTTTCTTTGTACTTCATATGGAAACAACTTTTATCTCCACACACACACACACAAATACATATATATATATATATATATATAATCATTTTACCTTTTTCCGTCCTTTAATTTATTTTAGGTTTAGTTGAAAGATAATGTTTTAGTAAAGCTACCAGACAGAGATCCATTATATTCTTGAATTAATAATTATCAACTTTGTAATGAAAAGTGGTCAGTCAAATTTTTTTTAACATAAGAAAGAAAAACTTGTGTATTTTTCAATATTTAACTAAAGAATTTTTGCTGTCTTAATTGTGATTTGTGGTTTAATTAACGGTTGATACTCAGATAATTTGGTATATTGTTTTATTATTTTTTGGGTTATTTGGATATAGTTACTCCTAGTAACTATTTGTATGAAAAGTTTGGAAAATTTGTTACTTTATATAGTGGCATAAAGTGTGATCCTATTCCTAAAGACTATCCTTATTTTTTTATGTTCAAGAATTATGATTTCATGATTCCTAATTTCTATTAGAAATGAAAGAGGAGAAAGGAATTCATATCATATGCAAATGATTTATAATATAAAAAAATAAAGTGTCCAATAGTTTTTTTAAAATCCAATTCAAATATAAAATATAAACTAAATATTTAGGAGATATTTATAAAAAAAATTATATCATATAATCATAGTAAAATAAACATGTTCATGTCTTATATATGTATAATATATATGTGTGTGTGCATTTCTTTAAAATTATATAGAAAAAATCCTCAATATTTATATTTTATAAATACAACTAGTCCAAAAATTATGCTTACTAATAAAATCACAAACTTGTTGTGTCATTCCAACAAAAATAATCACAATTTTAGTTAACTAAATAAAGAAAAAAACTCACAAATTTTCAGGATATGACGGCCGTTTGTTTATCCGTTAAGGTTGCTCCGATGTGGCATCCCATGTGAAAAACAGAGGTGGTGCCACGTCATATATAATAAAAAAATCTAAATTTTCTTACACGCGTCTCTTGGTATGGACTAAACCGGATTAGTTTTTGGTTTGTCGGTTTAATCCGGTTTATGTTTCGGTCATAATCCGATTAATTAACTTAAATCAGATTTTATTAACAAAACCAATATTTCTGCTATTTAATCTTCGCCCCATCCTTCATGTTCATCGTATCGTTCTCGTTCGTCACTGCGCTGAAGAAAAAATGGTACTCACGAACTTCAATGGAGTCGGCGTTGGATTTGGTATAATTCCCGTTTCGATGCATTTTTCTTCCTTTTTTCTATGGATTCGAAATCGTTTTTGAACCTTCCATCTCTAGGGTTTGGCATCGGTTGCGGATTTGGCGTCGGATGGGGTTTTGGAGGTACGTTTTCACCATTTCTCTGGATTCTAGATCTCTTTTTCACGATTTGGTTTATGTTACGAGGATTCTGGAATTTGAGTTAGTTTCCGATGATAGATTTTTTTTTTATAACGCCGATGATAGGTTTTAATCGTGAAGATGGGAAAAATCTGAATATTAGCTGGCAAAATTCCTTAATCATGACGAACATGATCTGAAATCGATGCTCCATGCGAAAAAGCAAACCAGTGAAGCTGTTTTTGGTGATCAATATTTTGTAATAGATGAATAAAGATTTGAGAGAGTGATCTGAAGGGGAAGAAATTTAATCTTTGCCGACCGAATTAGCTCAATTGTTGGTTCAAAACGTGAATGATAACATCTTAATATGATTTTTGTGGTAGAATCCTTTCTTCATTCGGAATAATGCCATGGAAATATGCTTAATGCCCCATTGATCCAAAATGTATGCTCTGTCATCGTGTTTATCAATTTCCTGGTTCTCTTGTATTGTATGATTGAATCGATCGAGTGATTAAGTCTTCATAAGCGGAGAAAATTTCCGAATTTCTATGTTTAATCTGTGGTGTTATCATCGATACCACAAATTTCGCTGTCAGATTTCGTATTTCTGATGGAATCTGAAGGTGAAAACTGAAACTTGTAATCTGGTAGAGCTTTTCTTGCCCTCATCATTTGGCGTTTTTACCCTTTTAGAGAATAAACTCGTGCTTGGACTCGCGGTAGAGGGCTCAACTTTTACATTAAGCTCTCACCAAAACTATTTGATTTATACAAATGGGTATATATATCAGTTTGCTAATATTGATTCCATTAATCATTGCTTTGCTAATTGGACTGGAGATTTTTTTTTTTTTTGTTTATTCTCCTGCAGGTATGCCGCTGAACATCTTAGGGATTGGTGCAGGTAATAACCAGGATCTCCATTTCCATTTGTAGAGAGATCCTATGTTTGTTTCGGTCACTTTTGTTACTGTGTGAAGGTGGAGGATGTGGGTTGGGGATGGGTCTCGGATGGGGTTTCGGGACAGCCTTTGGGAGCAAATACCGATCGTCTCGAGTAACATTTGAAGGCATCGAGTTTGAGAAAAAGGACCGATAAACCCGAACACAGCAAGCGAGACATAACACATGTCATACTCAACCTAAGAATCAAGGTAAGATCGGTTCTTTCTATTGGGATGTTATCATCATTTCGAGAGATTGCCATTCACCATTGTAGTAATTTCGCTTCTGGTAGAAGGCAAATACCACATTTGGGTTTGTTTACTGTTCTAGGAGAATGCCACCTAATACATGTATTAATGAAGTTCCATGCTTTTGCAGTTTATGAATTGCCCTGTTCTTCCCTTTGGTCGTGTAATAATGATAACAATGGGTCGAGTTTCTGTTTCTGATAAAACTGTAAATAGACGGAAAAAAAAAAAAGAAAAGGGTCGAATTTCCAAATCGTGGTTTTATATTACAACATCACATCACACCACAGAAGCAAGAATTCACTCGTTCTTAGATATCTCGCTATAAGATCAAAAACAGAAAGGGGTAAGAAAATACAGAATGTTCTCCCTTCTCTCTTTCCGCAGTGTCTGTCCACTTTCAATATGGAGCAGACAATCAATCTCTCACCAATCAGTTCCCAAGATGTGGGATGTTGTTGTTGCATGTCTTCTGCTAAAGTCTTTACATTGTGTGAACAGCAACTAAAACTGCAACCCCCATAAAAAAAACACACACACAAGTTCAAGTATCTCAATATTTCTGACAGATTCTACTTCAGATGTGTATATTAGTGTTGAGCTGACAGAAGAAAAACAAACGGACATACGATTATTTTGACACAAGATCTGATCGGTTAGACAAGAATCATCATGCCTTAGCATCATATGTACATATGGATGCATGTTTCTTGCCTTACGTAATCAAATCTGTGCCTCTGGGACTGAATGAGCATGCATACGGTTCAGATACAACAACATCACTTTAATCCCAAGTTCATTTGAGGTCAACCGCTTGAATTTTCCATTTCCACTCATTTCGATTTTGGGTTAACTCTTCTGAGATTTGCAACACCTTCAAATCGTTGCTAAGACTCGTTCCTAAGTGAATTCTCCATTTCGATTTTTCTAACCGAAGCATCTGACTGTCTATGTTTTACATGTCCAAACCATCTTAATCACCTCTCGCGTAGTTTCTTTTCTATAGTTATTTCTCCTAGACTCCTAGTTTCCCTCTAACACTATCATTTCGTATTCCATCCTTGTATATCCACACATCCTCGCGAGTTAGCTAACATATTAGTGCAGCTTCAGTTGGTCAGTGTGCATGTAAAAAGAAAACTAAATCCAGTTTCAGAAGCATTACCGATAAGGAAAATTACGAGAAGAATCCAAATTGTGACTTGGACCGGTTTACTGTACTGCATTTGATACTGAGACCGTTGAAGTTGCCTCTGTAATGCTCCATACCAACCGTGAAGAGGTTTTTCATAGCACTCTTCACATTCCAGACAGCTCTTGCTTCTCTCATAGCATGATGCATTTACAACTTGCTGCAAATCACAAAAACAAAATAAAAAAAAGCATAATACTTTATTCAAAAAAATCATATGCACAAAAAAAAGATTATGCTTCCATAGATAGATATGGTAAGAGTGATAAAGATCAAATATATTATTACTCTATGAGCTTGGGTAGGCAATAATGCAACATCAGATTCCTGTTGACGATCTGCAGCTTTCCACTTTCTAACACAATTTTTCGACCAATTCACATTGGCTGTGGGTTCCATAAAGTTCAAGAACCCAGAGAAGCTGGGCACCTTCCGAGGTACCCTCACCACTGTTTCATCGGAAGAATTTTGCAAGAAATTGTCATCAGATATCGAAATATTCCAAGCACCAGTTTCGGCAGTACAACTAGCTGTTCTTCTATGTCCATGCGGCTTCCCCTCCTGGATTTCCAGAGGAACACAGACCATTGTATCGCTCGGATTCTTTAAACGAGCACCCGTTGGTTCTTTATCCGAAACCTCTTTCAGATCATTTACTCTGACATGATTATTTGAATGTATGTTCCCTTCAGATTCAGATGGTCCAGTCAAGAACAGCGCGAGTTCATCACGCTCGTCTTCATTCAACCGTACCCATCTCGGGGTCCCTTTTCCTTCAGAATGAGCTGTATCCTTCATGGATTTCTCGATTTTCGAAACCTGGTTTTCGATAGCGACAATGAACTCGCGATGCCTGTCCCGGGTATCATCACTCATCTGTTCATCGTAGCTAGATTGGACCGCCTTCTGAAACTCATCCAACTGGAACAGCGAATATTTACCACTTTAAGTATCAAACAATCTACAGAGCACTATACCATACATTCAAAGAAATTAGACTGAGAAAAGAGAAGGGAGGGAACCTGCCATTTGGTAGTTCCGAGAGCAGTATGCAAATCTCGATGCAATTGCTCACAGTCCCACACATTTGAACGGTTTCTTTTCGCATGGATCCATGTCCGATACGTCGATTCCATCCTGCACATGAAAGACGAAACATTCATAAGAACCTGAGCTGAACCCGAAATGCAATTTTGTTGCAGCTAATATGTCTGCATTCAAACTGAAACACGAAGACAAGATCTAATGCAGCATATATTGGATCAAACTACAAGAAAACAAACACAACATTGGGGGATCAAGGATCAACAGCTTCATACCAAGCAAATCAAAAGTGCCTAATTTTGCTAGAATCTTCATCGATCATGGTTTTCAAGGCATTTAAATACCAAAACAGCATATGCAAAGCATCGATTCACAAAGGATTCAACCAAAAGGAAAGACCCAGAAACCCTAGAGGGGAAATCCGCCAAACGAATCAAAATTTGAGAAGAAAAGGAGAACGGAATTGGGAACGCGAACCTGTCAGCGGATTCCTGAACCTCCTCAGCAGCAGCAAAGAAAGGATCCTTCTCCCATCGATCGAAATTCGTCGTCATCCCTAGAAAACCCTAAGATCCTAAGAGAATCTACGAATGAAATCCCTGAATTTCTACGCAATACAAAAAAATACCCAGAGATCTTCTCAATGCGTGCAAAAAACAAAAGAATCGAAACTTCAAATCGCGAATTGAAGGATTTGCAGATTCCGGGGAGAGGAGAGAACTGCGCTCGATCGGCAAAAAAGGGACTTTGGTTACAGTAAAAAAATCTAAACCACAAACGCAAAATGAAGACCCGAGTCCGAGTCGCCAAGATTCGGTCAAAAGGTCAACGAATCAAATTACGATGAAAAATATAAATACGGAAAACTATATAACTCTTCCAATTTAAAACCTTTTAGTACCTAAATTTTTAATTTGATTTTATTAATATTTTAAATATTAAAATATTTAAAAAATATTCTAAATTGATACACAATCTACATGATCATTTTCAATTTTAAATTTGTGTGATAATTTTAATTTTAAAAATGAATCGAGATTGTAAATTATTATTGATTTTATTAGTTGGGAATGAATTTAAAATATTTTAATATTTGAAAAATTAATTAGATCAAATAAAAGTTTTAGATATGGTTTTGGTATATTTGTAAAATTAAGTATTTATATGATATTTTTCTAAATTGTAACACGTATTTCATTTCAATCTAAGGATTAAATAAAGAAATATATTTTTATTTTTACATGGAAGAAACATAACATTTGTAAAATAAAAGTAATTTCTCCTTCTTTTAACTATTATTATCCTAAACCTTATATTTTAATAGAGAAAATTCTAAAAAATATTCGAATTTGTCAATTTTTACTAATTTTATTTTTTTATCAAATAAAATTTCAACTTGATTTTTAAATTCTAAATAAATATATACTTTATAATAGTTATCATTTTTAAACTCATCGTCGCTTATGTGATCATACCGATATCAGAACATATAGATGATAACATGTCAAATATGATCAAAATATTGATTTGTCACCATCTACGCTGTGTCAACATTAAAATTTAAAAAAGATAACTTATAAAATTTAGATTTATTTTCGACTGAAAAATAAAATTTATATTTTATTCGATAAAAAACAAAATTCATATTTTATTTTGTAAAAAATGATTCATATATTTTTTATGATTTTTCCCTTCTATATGAGATAATGGACCAACGTGGATTTATGACAAAACAAATTTCTCTTTTATCTCAAAGTCCTAAATACAGCATTTTGATCAGCTTCACATGCTCAGATCTTTATTGGGAATTATGAAGAAGCACAACATCTTCTATCTGAATCGTGAGGAACATTTCGATAAAAATTCGTTAAAATAAGATGATCCGTCAAAATTTTTAACAAAATTTTAAAAAATTTGTTCGAAAATTTTGAAAATTTGGAAACGGACTTTTCAACCGCAATCTATTGGAAAATATTTTTCTAATTAGAAATTCCAACGGATTTCAATTGAAAATTTTTCAATCAAATTTTAAAATCTCAGCTTCGATCCCCAACTCATCCCTATAACACAAATATTGAAACTAAATCGGTCGAATATTGGTATAATGTTAAACTTATATAGACTCATCAATATTAAAAATTTATAGATATGTATTTAATTAAACCAAATTAATAAAATACAATACTAATCATGTATTCTTTCATTTACTCGTTACAATTAGAATACATTAATTTGCTAGCCAATAGAAAAAAATAAAATATAATAGACAAATATATTTAAATGTTAATATAATTAATATAGTCAAATAAGATGTATACTCAAATCTTCTTTCCGAAAATCATTGATACAATATATAATTTGTGATTAGACTTTAATTTTGATTATAATTTTGGTAAGTAAATGAATATTAAAACTAAATCGGTCGAATGTAAAGATTTAAACCGATATTATTAATTGATTTTATGTATATATTTTTCTATCTAAATTTTGATACATTTTCAAATTTACAACCAAATATAAGATGATTTATAAATTCTATTTTTGAAAAACGTTTAGTGTTTTAAGAACATGATGAATAATTTAAATATCATAAAGTTAATTTAGACCCGGAATTTGCTTTAGCCGAATTCAAATATTGGTATCGGTTTAATTCGGTTTATAAAAATTCAAACCACAATGAAAGAAGAAGTACAATGAACGTGCCCTCTCTACAAGTCATGCAAATCAGACCCATCACCCGAAAAAAAAACCCTTAGGGGAGCGTCCGCTTCTCATCAAACATCCATGGCTTCTCTACTGCAATGGCCATGAAAACCATACCCTCAAACCCTCACACTGATACATGCCCATATATATATGTATGTACATGTGTATCTGTATATATATACACACACACCACTGCTTTGTATTATGATCAGTACACAAAAAAGAGACATGGGGACAAAAGCCATGTTCTTAAGGTTTCTTGTTCTCTTGAGTTTATGCCTCTTCGGCCAACTGATGGCAGAAGCTGCCGGAGAAGTTGGGTCGATGAAAAACTCAGGATCGAGAAAGAGCATCGAGACCAAGAAGGGTAACCGGCAGGTAACCGGTTTTCCGGGAGAGATCGCCACCGGAGGATGCTACAAGGCCGGAGCCGGAGCCGGAGCCGGGACGGGATACGGCTTAGGGGGCGGTTTTGTTCCCGGAGATGGGTACAGAGGCGGTATTGGCGAAGGCGGTTTTGGCCCGAGGGACGGGTACGTCGCCGGCGGTGGGTTAGGCTGGAACGGCGGAGGAAGCTCGCCGGGATATGGAATCGGCGGAGGAGGAGGAGGGGGCGGCGGCGGAGGTGGGTGTGTTGGGTCTTGCGGTGGTGGAGGGTACGGACACGGCGGAGCAAGCCCGACGAAGGATTCCGGCAAGAACTAGGAAGCCGACACGACATGTTAAGGGAAAGCGAAAGAGAGAAATAAGGAGTTTTAAGTGTAATAAATAAGAAAAAAAAATGTTAAGATATGATCTAATAATGGAGATGATGAACATCAAACAAAGCAAACGGTTTTTACCTGAAAAAAAATATTTATTTTTCCATCGAATTAAATAAATTAATCTCAAAACACATCATTTTTTTTAGGAAAAATTCCAAAAAATATACTAACTTTTTCAATTTTACCAAAAAAACTCAACTTTATTTATTGTCAAACACTAAACTTTTTTAATGATCTATGAACTTTTCTGTGATTATAAAAAAAAATACTGAATTTTTTATTGATCCAAAAAATTCATGAATTTTTTTCAATTGTAAAAAAAACTAAATAAAATAAGCCTATTTGATAAAACAAAAAGTTAATGTTTTTTTTTATTTTCAATTTTTTTAAATAATTTTAACCAAAAAACTAAACGCCCACCGTGGGGCTCGAACCCACGACCACAAGGTTAAGAGCCTTGCGCTCTACCAACTGAGCTAGACGGGCTTTTTATAAATATGTTATAATTCCATAATTATAGTATATTCGCAAACAAATCCTACATTTACATCTCGTGAAAAAAGCAGTACGAAAAGTTACTGGTCATGAAGATATGAATAAGTTTTTATGTTTTGATTCTATTTATCCCGTTCGACTCAAGAATTGGATATCCAAAATTTCGAATATATGTCTACCAACGGGACAAGTACGGACCTTCGTAAGTGAGAACCTGACCTCCGAATTTGGGTTCTAAGTATGATTGGTAAGTATCGTTATCCACGAAATAACTCGAACTGAGGAAGAAAAAAAAGAGGGGTGAAGTGAGAATATCAGTATCATAGGTTTAGGGACACCACATTCTAGTACTGATGACAAATAATTTGACAAAAAGATCCGAAAAGAGGAATTCCGATACACTGGAAGATTCGTATACATGACCCTAGAACTGATATTAATAATTGAATAATTGAATTGAATTGAATCGAATAACACATAATCATAATCAAAACGAATCTGACATGAAATTGAATGGTTATAATTTCTCTAAAACTAAAAGAATAGAATCCGGGCATAATCGAATAACAAAAATAATAGAAAAAAAAAACGAGCATGAAAATACGACCTATTTTGTCATATCAAATTTTTCGATCTATTCATACTAATGATTCATTAGTTGCAAAATAACCATAGAGGTGTCCGAAAATAAAGATTTAGATTTTCGATTATTCGTATTTCGGATACCCGCTAATGTTATAAAATCTGAATGTTGAAAAAAAATTATAAAGATAAGTTTATCATTTTCAATACGCATCAACATATTTTACATTTTCAAATAAAAAATATTTTTTAAATAAAGATATTTTGAAATGTTTATAAACATTAAAAATATTTTTATGATTATACTCTCTCTATGTATATATTGAGTTCAATATAATATTGATAGACACGTCCAAATTTAAATTCGAAATATTTAAATAAAAAATGGATAATTTTAGTGAACAGATTTTCATCAATGTTAAGGAAGAACAAAAGATCACAAACCACTAAAAAATCCTATTTTTTTAGAAAATATAATTGAATGAATAAATATTTTGTACGGGCTTAGAAGAAAAAAAAACAAAGTGTTCTTCAAAGGAAGAACCGGTGAAGTTCGCCGTTGACCGGTAAGATTCTGGGACTAAGAAAGTCAACGGCTGGCGAAAATTTTGACCAGAAAAATCATTTCTCGTAATGGAATTTTCGGTTTGGTTTGACCGTATTAAACCGGATTTAACAATATAAACTATAATCGTTCCACTTTTCGTTAGATTTAATTTTCGTCGCTCAACCAAATCAAAATCAAAACCGGGTTATATTCAGTTTTAGCTCGATATAATTATCTTATTTTTGAACAAAACCAAAATCCAGAAAAAGTCTAATCAGAAACAATTCGGTCTCTAAGATTCCAAATCCATTAGCTTAAATAACAAAAAGAACAATAAAATGATTAAAATATAGGAAAAGTTTTAGAGAAAAATATTTGAAAATTCCTAAATTTGTAATTTGATGTAATATTAATTTCTGAACTTGTAGGTGCATTTATTTATTTCCGAACTTGCATTTTTTAACACAGTAATTTCTAAACTTGTATTTTGGAACACAGAAATTCCTAAACTTTCATTTTTGAATACAATAATTTCTAAATTTTGCTTTGATCAATTAGTAGTATGGACGATTATAGAACTGTTAAATAAGTTTATGAATTACTGTGTTAAGAAAATGCAAGTTCAAGAATAAATAGGCGCAATTACAAGTTCATGAATTAATATTACATCAAATTACAAGTTCAGAAATTTTCAGGTATTTTTCCCAAATTTTTATAAATATACCACAATTTGTTTAAAATACCATATTCTAAATTATTAAATAAATATCTCAATTTAATCAATTTGTACCGAATAGATATCAAATCGATGAAGTCATTAATTGATAACTAGATGAGACCCGCGCGATGCGCGGTTTATTCTTTTTATTATTATTGTAATATATTTGTTTTGATATTATGAAAAAAATATTAGAATATATGTAGTGAAATTGTATATATATATATATATGAAGAAATGAAGTAATTTAAATATCATTACATTATTATAATATAAAATTATTTATATATATTTTTTGAAAAAAAAATATGTTTAGAGTAATTTTACATATTGTTTAAGGATGAAATGCATGTATAGTCATTGATGGTCTTACCCTATTTCTCCTTTCATGTGTAGAAAATTTTATTTCAATATTTTTAATTGAATATTAATGGGAAATGTTAGAATAATAAAATATACATAATATTTTTTTAAAAATTTATATAAAATGTTTCGATCTACATTCATCTATATAAAGATATTATATTTTACCATTTTTCAATTCTTTGTATACGTTGAACATTCACTTCTACATACTTATACCATCTTTATTATATTATAATGCAACAAAAAAAATTGAGGATTTTACCTGCACACTTTGCTTCACAGACCATATACCTATAAAAACTTCTTCTTTCTCCACTTCGAGATCAAAGTTTACAACTTTTCTTTTGAATCATAAATTGTAAAACTTCATCTTGAACAATACACCGAAATGTCACCCCCCAAAACTTATTAAACAATATCTAATAAGATCAAAATATGTATCTTCATTTTCTTTTAATCAAATAAAAATCATAATGATATATAAAAGTTAAGATCAAAATACCGAATTTGGATAGCTTAACCGGTGAAATAGTATTCAAAGTATCTGTTCCGTTCTGAATTCGAATCATATGGCTGGCTCTGAATCTCGAGATTAGTATGGATTTCGATCCATGATGCTCGATTTTTAAAAAATAAGGTCCAAATAGATTTTTAATGTAATAAAGAGGAATTTTTGGTAATTATTTTAATTATAATATTTGTTGAGATAAATTTAGTGAAATATGTCATGCATTATTTGTTTATTTATGAAAAAAATATATTTATAAAATTAAATCATTATAAAATTATATATATGAACGATAAAAATAAATAAATATTAATATATTGCATATATTGAGTGCTTAACCGTGGGGAGGGAATTCGAGTTTAATTCGGAAGTCTGTTAGACATGGGGTTTTGGGTTTTGGGTGATTTCATGTAAAATTGATGTTTGATTTGTGTTGTGCATGCAATTTTATGAGTTTTAGTGTTATACCCATAGTGAATCGTGCATGTTTGTGTATTTTGGGGAAAATCAGAGGACCAGAACGTCCGGTCTGAGGTCAGACCGTCCGTTCTAGGTCTGCTGGAGAAATCCAGAAGTCCAGAGGTTGAAGACGAAGTCCGGAACGTCCGTTCTACACCAGACCGTCCGTTCTGGTCAGGCAGAACGTCCGTTCTGGTCAAACAGAACGTCCGTTCTGGTCCAAAATAGAACGTCCGTTCCAACCGACTGGACCGATCAAAAAAAAAAAAAAAAAAAAAAAAAAAAAAAAAAAAAAAAAAAAAAAAAAAAAAAAAAAAAAAAAAAAAAAAAAAAAAAAAAAAAAAAAAAAAAAAAAAAAAAAAAAAAAAAAAAAAAAAAAAAAAAAAAAAAAATTTGATCCAAAATGAACTGAAAAATTTCACCATGAGGAAAATTGAAAAACATGATAAGACGGGTCTAATATGACCCTGGTTAAAACTATGAAAAAGTGAAAAATATAAATTATACCGGAATTACGGGCCAGACCGGACCCCACGTAGTCTGGACCCAAAATGAATAACAGGTAAGGTTAGAAACCACGGAATGAACCGAACTGGTTATCCGGGCGGACCGGGACCAGCTAAGTCATACCGGAGGTACAATTCTGTAAAATCGATGAAAAGAATGAAAGAAAATATATAAAGAGATATAAAAGACTACACAAGCGGAAATGCATGTATAGTAAATAAACTATATAAATGCATGTGATTGGGGTAGCTGGCATGGCACTAGCGTTAATT